AAAATATATGTTAAAATATGTGATATTATCTTTATTTTAATATAAAAATAAAAAATATTTATTAGTAAAATTGAAAATTTTTATATAAAGAGAAAAACTTGTATTTTTCATATTTTTACTATGTTTTATTAATAAATTTGTTTTAACATTCCATTTTTTTTATTGTTACTGTATATAAATTTAAAAATATTTTAATTATTATAATTTTTGAGTTATTTTAGTTATATTATATTAAATATTTATTTTTTAATATAAATTATAAATTATAATTCTAAATAAAGTTATAACTTGAAATAAGAACTATAAATTATTATAAAATAATTAATAAATAATATAATATTTATTATATATAATATGCTCGAGTGCAAAAAGATTTGCATCTTAAAATAAAAATTAATAATTACTTCTAATAAAAATTATTTAAAATTTAACTAAACTCTATAATTTTTTTACACTAAGTAAAAAATAATTTAAATTAACTATTTATATTATTTATATTATTTTTTTGTACTTTTATTTAATAATATATGAAGTAATACTTTTCTAAAAAATAAAATTAAGTTTTAAAGTTTAATAATCAAATTATTTATTAAATATATTTTATATTAATTTTAATCAAAGTTTATATAATAAAATTTATGAAATAAGAGTTCAAAAAAATTATTACTAGTAAAATTTTTTTTATAAAATATATATAATTAAAATATATCTATTTTAATTAATTCTAATATCTAATGATTTAATTAAATAAGATAAAATTAAAATTTTATTTTAAAAAAATAATTTATTAATAATTATTTGAAATGCAAATCATTTTGCATCAGATTATATAATTAATTCTATTTTTTTCATAATAATTGATCAAATAAATTACTAATTGTTAATTAGTAATTAATTAAATAGTTATTTTAATTGGATGATTATATTAATATTAGAATTATCAAATATAGAAATAAAAAAACATGTATAATATTTATAATAAAATTTAATAAATATAAAAATTAAAATATTTTAATTGTCACTAAATAAATATTTAATTCTTAATAAATATTATAAATTATATTTATAAATAAAAATTGTAGTTCAAAATTACAAATTGATATATAATGTTATATGTTAATTTCAAATTGAATTCAAATTCAAATAATAATTTAGTTTAAACTTTAATTTTTTTTTGAACTCAAACCAAAATCCAATTCAAGAATTCAAGTTCAATTCAATTTTGAATCAAACTTGAATCCAAACAAAAGTCCAGTTTGATTTGGTTTATAGGAATATTATTGTTTGCAAAGCTTTATAAAACAATTATTGAAACATACAGTACTATAAATATTCATATGGATAAAGATGATATCATAAGCATCAAATTGAAAATATTCCAACATCAAATTCAATAAAAAGAAATAATTGATTGGCTAATTTTTCATGATATTGTTTTTTTTAATAAACAGAACTAGTGCAAAAAAAAAAACAAAGAAAAGCTTCCATTTATCTGTATTAAAATAGCAAAAAAATATCAATTTTTTTTATTTCTTCTTACTATTGTGAATTGCAGCTAATTGAAGATATTTGAATGGTCGTATAGCAAAATTGGATCCACATTCAAATCTCTTGGCTATTAGAAATAAACTTCTGTATGCTTTTAAAGAAATAGTAACTTCAAAAGTAATAATTGGATGGTGGTGAAGAGCACTCAAAAGAATGAAAGATTATAGTCTGATGAAAATGTAAATTTATTAGACAACGAAATTGATGATATCAACGATTTCGATATTGATAATTAATAATTAATACTACTTCCAGATATATTTTAAGTCTAATTTGAAATTTTATTATATAAAAAAATTTTGTTTTACATTGTTTGAGGTGTAAATCTTTTTTGCACTGGACTATATACGCATATATAAGATGTTCATACATTTAATTTGCTATTTATTTATCTCCACCACTTGGAAATACAATTTTCGCCAACTCTTTTTTATTAACTTTACCAATTGGACTACGTGGAAATTCACCCTGAAAATTATTCAACAATCTGGGAATTTTATAGGATGCTAGTCTTTTCGACAAGAATTTGCGTAATTGGTCAAGAGTTATTTTTGTATTCTTTGATAATCAAAGAAAAGGAATACACAAGTGTCAAATAAAACATAAAATATCAAAGAGAATAAATAACTCAGAAGCGAAAGTTTTATACACACCTGATCTTTAGTCACGATGATAGCACCAACGCTTTGACCCCATATGGGATCATCTACGCCAACAACAACAGTATCGATTATTTCCGGATGAGATAATAGTTCTCGTTCTATTTCTAGTGCCGAAATCTTATATCCTCCTGACTATAGAAAAAAATATAGTCGTAAAAATTCTTATTATCACTTTATATAAATAGTGATTAATTACCTTTATAATATCAACACTCTTTCTTCCAAGTATTTTAAAGATATTATTATTCGTACAAACAGCGATATCACCAGTCTTGAACCTTAATTCAGATAGTATTATGTTATCAATTTGATTTAATACAATTGATCAGGTAACCGATAAAACAAGAATTTTTTTTAACCATCCATCTTTAGTAAACTCGTTTTCAGTAGTTTCTGGGCGGTTCCAATATCTGTTAGTACAATTAATTAATGAGACAGTTAAATAATATCGTAAAATTTCTTGATTGACTTTTAATACATACCCTTTAAATACATTTTCTCCTTTAATTTGAATTTCACCGGGTTCCTCAATCTCATCAGTAACATCTTTATCATCTTCTGAAATCAATCGAACTTGGACTCCAGGTACAGGCAATCCCACACATCCCTAAAGATGGGATATAAAGTAAGAATATTAAAGAACTTTATTTAGTCAATAATTTCATTGCTTATTTACCTCGATTCTTTTTTCAACCTCATATCCACCACTCAATCCAATCCCAATTTCACTCAATCCGTATCTTTCTAACAATACTTGTCCGCCACTAATCTCTTCCCAAGTAGAGCGTAATGATGACGGGAGTGCCGACGAGCCGGAAATCATTACACGAAATTGTGAGCATGAATCCGTGGCGATTTTTTGCATTTCAGCAGGCATTTTGTAGTATTGTTCGGTTAGTTTTGCTAAATAATTTATGGACATTAATTTTCTTAAGTAAAATAAAGATGAAGAGAATTTCGATATAATTGAGGGTGGGCCAAACTTGATTTTTTCAGTAGTCCATCTCTCAATTATCATCTAAGGATTGAGAATGCGAAATAAACACATTTCATATACAATAAACCGTCGGGACAGCCATAAAAATCGTTAAATCACGTTCGGGTCTCATGAATCGATTCCAGACTGATGTTGCATCAAACTTTGGAAACATCTCAACTGTAGCTCCCGAATAAAGCAAACATGCGAGAGCCTAACATTAATAGAGCATTTAGCATTTATTGCTATATTTTTTAATGAGCAATTAATAACTCGTAAAAGGAGACTTCTTCTCACAAAAATGCTTCCCTAAAATTATAGAATATGGGATAAAAATAGCACATCAAAAAATGTAGATTAAAGAATTAAGCATATAATAAGAGATAACACAGGATCTTACGTGAATGTGATGTAGTGGTAAAACATGTAATATTCTATCTCTATCAGTAATTCGCCACATCTCTACCAGACTTTTAATTTGTGCTTTGAGATTAGCATGAGTCAATACCACGCCTTTGGGTTTCCCTGCAATTTCAGAAATTAATTAGAGGATACAAAAATAAACAAACCAAATTAACAAAAAAACCTGTAGTTCCACTAGTATAGATGATCATCGCGCGGCGCGCCTCATCCATTGGAAAAATTGATGGCAACTATAATTTATTTGATTCGTTATTGAGTCTATTAATTATCCAAATACAAATAAAGGTCACTTGCCAGATTATCATCACTATAGTTTTTATAATTTTGACTCCCATCAACAAAAAAAACATTATTTATCCCCGTCTGATCAGTGATTTCTTTAATCCGATTTTCAAAATTAGAATGAGCAATGATAATAGAAGCTTGTGAATCCTGAATAGTGTACAATAACTCAGGATTCGAGTAAAGAGGACTCATAGGAACTGCAATGCCACCCGCCGCCCAAATCGACCATTGTGACACGACATAATCATATCCATTTGGAAACAAAGACGCGACTCTTTCTTCTTTTAGATCCGTTTTAAAAGCTTCTTTCGAACCAGTTTGCAGGATTTCATTCTTGAAAGCTGCTACATCCTGTACTAGTTTTATATAAATATGTGAAGTACCAGTATTGGTATCTATTATTGCAGGTTTTGTGTTTTTTTGAGTTTTGGCGTGGATTATTGCTTGGTTGAAAAGCGAAAGGGATGGCAAAGAAACTTCTAAGGAAACGAGAGAAACTAGTTCAAGAATTCGTTTTTCGAGAGGAGCGAAAACTTGGAATTTTTGAACTCGCAAGTTAGCAATCTTTACCTTCCTTATTGAAAGAAGAAAAAAACTTTCTATGAAGAAAATGATTGTGTGTCAATGATTTTATTACAATTCTATTCTGAGAGAATTGAAGAAATCGAAGCATGTTGAACAAAAATAATCAAGAACACAAATAAACTATATTGCGATTTTTAAAGAGAACGCGATCGATAGTCTCGATATTATTTTTTGTACCACAATTTCATTATTGATGATTCTATATTTTCCTCTAGCTTTAGCATTGGATTAACTCCAACTTCAGTGATATCTATTACTACTACTACTATTATTATTGAGAAAAAGAAGTAAGCGCAAATTATAAGAAAAAAAGGAAAGGAAATAATGTTCTTCATATTATATAGTCCAAAAAATCATTATATTACTACCGACTTTTATTCTTCTACTTGAGTTTTTTCACTTCCTGGTCAATATCTTCGACAAATTCTTTCAATTTGTTCCATTGATCTATTGGTAATGATACCCCTAAAATGATATGGTAATAATTTATGAATATTATGAAAATTTATTGTCTCGAACCCCGCAAAAGAAAAGCAATTATTGATAGCGTTAATCATAATACCTTTTTTGGTCGGCTTCATGCCATCACTGGTGTCAAAGTACTCTCTAATATCCACCAGAATCATACTCTTAAACTTACGTACTGTTACTCTCCTCTTTTGGTCCAACTAGATAAGTCAAAAGATCCATTTATTTATAGAAATTGGTCAATCTGCTCATGAATTTACAAGTTGAACTGGTAAATTAAAGATCAATTTTTCTTACTTTGAAGTATGTTTCTCCATCGGCTGTCTCACCACGATCTCCTTCCTCATAATCAGAATCAAAAGACTTTTTTTGTTTTTGTTTCTTAGGTTTAGACGACTTATTATTAGTAGTAACCTATATAGAATAAAAATTAAAAGATATTTCAATTTCAATATTTCGCGTTCTGTTAGACATCCAAGAGACCACACGATAAATTGCCACTCTTTCATTTATTTAATCTACCTTTGGGGTTTCTTCCTCAACAAATTCGTCACCGCTTCCTTCCTATGATTTTATTAAATGCAAAACATCACGAAAAAAGATTATATGAGACGCGAAAATATATCCTACTACTTCTTTTTCTCAATCTGGTTTTTTTCTTTTTATCTTTTTTGGTCATTAGCACGTACTTGATCGCTTTCTATGATTTCTTTACTTTTTCTTTTAGACATCTTGTATTTTATAAAATGGTAGTGGGTGAACTAGATATGAGGTCGCGAAAGATAGGAGGTATAATAACGATAAGAATTCTGTTCCTATCGCTATTTGTATTTGATAACAAAAGGAAAAGATCGCGTCTATTTTCGTATTATACATATCTGATATAAATAAACTTTGATTTGGGGATATGATGAAAATATCATATCATACATACCTTTTTAATAGTAATTTAATTAGTATGGAAGACCTCCTTCCGTTTGACTCCAACAATCCTTTTTTAGGGACACCAAATCCTATCACTGCTAATATCAATACTGCGAACAATTCAGGAATTATTGCAGATATAGGTACACCTGCTTATTCTGAAACCTCCGGCACTACTACTACTACCCGTGAGAACACATTAATCGATCTTGGAGAAAATCACGAATCTCGAGCGTCTACATTTACAGCGCCGTTGATTCAAATTATAAATAAATACGAGGATCAGACCATTAAGTTATTTACCGCACTTCAAGCAACAGCAGATGGAAAACCACCCGAAGCTCCGGTCACCAAAATAATGAAAGAAATTATAGAGTTGGATAGAAGACTACAAGAGGGAATTGAACAAAGTAGGCTCTCACCCTATGAAGCTTTCCTCTCTCTCTGGTTTATCGTCGTATACATATATACATAAAGAACAAAATTGAAATTACTGAAGCTTTTGCATTGGATAATGCGAATTCGAAGTTCAGGAGCATCAATACTACCATCAAAAAATATTAAACTTGCAGAATGAAATTGATGACGAAAACGAACTTGTGATGATGTTGGTTGAGGCTATTGAACTTGGCAAAGAACCGCTAGAAGAGGTTCTGGAAGAGTCGATTAACATTAAAAAAGCAATAAAATTAGCACAAGATTGTATGTATTTATTTTGTTTGATTTATTTGCCTTGATTTTTTGAATTTTTGTAACTTTTGTCATATTACTTTTAATAGCGCCAATGACTGTCCAGGATATTTTAGAATATGCGAATAAATTGAGTAAGTTTACATCCCCTCCAGGACGACCATACCCAGACGAGACGATAGTGCGACAAGGATTACTATATCAACGTTTTATCGCTGCCAAAGGTATTGCTTGGAGATTTTATCGTTTTCTCTTAAAATTTTTGAATTTTTATTTTTTTTTGTTCGATTACAGGTCAATTGGATGTCGAGGGAGCAGATTTTGAAAGCGATGAAGAGGAAGACGAAGATGAAGACGAGGAGGATGAAGATGGAGATTCTATCGATGATGGAGATTCTCTCGAGGACAATAAAGTTTCTTCACCTATTTCAGATCAAACCGATGCAAATCAATTTTTCCTTTTGGATTTGAATCCAGAAGAGGAATAATGAATCTGTTCAAGAAAAAATTTATATTTGTGTAATGATTAACCAACTCTCAGGTTTGTCTACCCTTTAGTTTTATATTACTCGTTGACTAATTCCTCATATTTTTCCGGTCATCACACAATTTTAGTAGTTATAAAAAATAGATTGTAATATAAACACATATCCCGCTTTTTCATATCTCGTAGACAGAAAATTCAGAGATCATTTAATTATATTTATCACGTTATGATTTTAATATAGAAATAAAACATTATCGTGGCATTTTTCATTAAATTTTATGCGAATGTGATCAAGTTTCATCAGGAAAACTAATATCAAGTCCAAAATAAATATAAAATTTGATTGTGTCATTTGTTTCGATTTGTTTTATTCTTGTATTTTTGATTAGTTGTTGAAAAATCATGTTAGTTTGATTCTTGTATTTGTTAATACAAAAATGGTGTGCTTTTTTATTCAATTTGTTTGTTATAAAATCATAAGTATTATTTATTATAGTTAATTTTTATTGTTTTGGTCATTATATATATATTTAACATTATTTTTGTTAAGTTCGAAAATAATTTGTCTTTAATTAGTAAATTGTAAATACTTAATGTGCAAACGAACAAATTGATATGCAAACTGAATTCCATTTTGAAACTTCTAATATTAATTGAAAATTAATATTTATGAAAATTCTTATTGTTACAATTTTAACAAGTAGTTTTTTTATTAAAAATTTTTTTATTGTAAACTTTGATTTTTTTAATAAGAAGTGCAATATTATCATTATATAATTTTGTAATACTTATTGATCCAGTTTTTATTATAAAATCAAAAAATTATTTTTTTAGTTCAGTAATTCAAAATATAACAACTTGTAATTAAATTGAGTTAATTATTTTAAATATTTTAAAAAAAATATAATTTGTTCTTTTTTTAAAAATATTCAAATTATTATTTTTAATTTTTATTTAAATTCTGAAAATTTAGATTTTCTGATATTTTTCTAAAAAGATTAGTTTTCTTTCTCAGCACAGGCTGAAACTTTATGTTTCAATCCTCCAATTGGTAAATTATTTCCTGGAACTATTTGAAATTCTTGATCATATTAGTTTTATTAAATATATAATAATACTTAAAATTATGGAATTATATATGTAATTTTATTAAAATATATTAAAAATTGAAATTTTTATTTTATATAAAAATTTTAAAAATTTTCAATTTATTAATGAAAATTTTCAATTTTTATATCAAAATATAAATTATAAGTTAATTTTTTATTTTAATTGCAAAATTATTACAAAAATTTTTTATAATTAATTTTATATTTTAATTATAAAAAATTTTTGTAATAATTTTGCAATTAAA